TTACCTTTCTTCTGAGGCTCATCTTCTTCCAGCTCTATCTCATGACTTCTTAAGGAGCTGATGAGTTCCTCCAGAGTGATCTTGTTAAGATCCTTTGATAGCTTCAGCGCTGTGACCATGGGTCTCCACTTCTTTGGTAGACTTATGATGATCTTCTTCACATGATCAGAAGTGGAGTATCCTTTGTCAAGGACCTTCAAACCAGCTGTCAGAATCTGGAATCTTGAAAACATGATTTCCACAGATTCTTCATCCTCCATCTTGAAGGGTTCATACTTCTGAATAAGCGCAAGAGCCTTTGTCTCCTTCACCTGAGAGTTTCCTTCATGTGTCATCTTTAATGACTCAAACATGTCAAACGTTGTTTCTCTATTTGTGATTTTCTCATACTCAGTATGAGATATAACGTTTAACAGAATAGTTCTAGCTTTGTGATGATTTTTGAAATCTCTCTTTTGTTGGTCAGTCATTGACTTTCTGTCAATCTTTTTGCCCTCACCATCAGTGGGGTGAATGTATCCATCAATGACCAAATCCCATAGATCATCATCATAGCCTAGAAAGAAACTTTCTATTTTATCCTTCCAATAATCAAATTTCTCTCCATCAAACATGGGAGGTTTGGTGCTGATTCTATCTTTATCATCATATTTGTTGTTTGACTGTTCAACCATAATATATCAAGGATAATAAATCAAGAGTTTTCCCAACTGGATCTTTCTCTGTCACTGTTAAGTGATAGCACTTCAGAGCCGGAGCTCTGATACCAACTGAAGGTAGGAAAACACTTAGAAGGGGGGGTTGAATAAGGGGTTTTTAAAAATAATTATGACAATAGAAAATAACAATTTATTTTTATCCTGGTTCATTTGAACTTAAACTACTCCAGTCCACCTGGCCAAGGTGATTTTGCCTCTCTCAAACGAGGACTTAATCCACTAAATTAAAACTTGATTATAGTGATATCACTAAGACAAACTGTCTTAGTCTTCTCAAGAATCCTAACCACAACTTGGTCTCTCAAGGAACTTTTACAAAGATGAAATACAATGTGTTTAAGTGCTTCTAAAAAGCTATTATCACAACTGTGATTTTTACACAAAATGAAGAACAAATAAAACTTATGTGTTTGATGTAGAAAGTTGTTTGATGTACTTGTGTTTTTCTTTGTATGAGTTTCTACGTTGATTGTTTTTCAAATGTTTCTTGGATTGTTTTTGGAATTCTTTAACTTTAAGTGTTGATGGAGACTTCTTTATATACTCACTTTCTCAAATAGTGTGTAGATGAAAGTACTGTAGGATGTAGACAGAAAGGACAAATACTTTTCGTCTTGATTTGACATTCCCTTTTTGCCTGAATTCCTGTGCCATACACGAATGAGAAATAGTGTTGTTGGTAGACATTGGGTTTAGCAACATATCTTTCTTGAACAATATCTTTTCAAATGAACAGATATGAAAAATAATCTTGCATCAAATCCTCTGATGATATTCCATGTTCTTCTTTATCAGAGTCACTCTATCCAGAGTTTTGCAGCAAAGTGCTTAGCGTGAATGAATGATCAGAGTTGACTTGATTCTCAGAGCCTCTGTAGGTTGCAGCGTTGAGTTCTCACAGATTCTTCTGAATATACTGAATCTTTATACTCTGCGCTCAGAGTCTTCTGTAGGTAGCGCTTCAGAGTCTTCTGTAGCTTTGCTCAGAGTCTTCTGTGCTGCGCTTTCTACGCTCAGAGCTTTGTGTTATATAATGTTCAGAGGAATTCTTTTTTTTTCTTCAGATGAATATTTATTTGATATCTGAAACAAAAACACTTGAACAAAATTAGAATATATATTTTCTCTATACAGAATTTCATTAATGTTATCATCAAAACATTGAAATATATTAAGAACCAATATGTGTTCTAACAGAGAGATCATCAACTTTGAAGTTGTTAAAAAATATTAAAGGAAGAATATATGATTGTCACTGCTCATTACAATGGAAATTGAAATTTACAATATCGCGCTTTTAGGTGAATATAATTTCTTCTAATAATAGCTTAATTGCATATTATATATACTAGTTTGATTGCATATTATTAATACTAATTTTTTGAATCTTATTATGTTAGGTTTATTTATCTTTTTGTACCTCATACAAGTGAAAAAATTTGTGGTGCATTGGTTGTACGCTTGATGGATTGGAATATTAATACAAAATTGTCTACTATTACATTGAACAATTGTAGCACATATGAAACAATGATTAAAGTAATTAAGGCTAACATTGTTAAATGATTAAAGGGTTTGAGGAGCCATCTGAACAATTAAAAATACCTTGCACCAAAAATTTAGTTTTAGATTGTCCGACTAGATGGGATTCTACCTACAAAATGTTTAACGTTGCCATTTTGTATGAAGATGTATTTAATAGATTAGGAATCCCTCTAACTCGGTACATTTGTTTGTCTTACAATGGAAATTTGCAAAAGAGACTTGTGAAAAATTGAAATTGTTCAATTCTATCATTAAAGTGTTTCCTGTAGGGATGACAAACAAACCCACACCCGCTCGTACCCGCATCGAAATTAATGGAAAAAATTCGATTTAATTGGGTGCGGGTTTGGATGAAACCCGATTCTTAACTACGGGTGCAGGTAGATACTAAGACCCGCCCGCACCGGCCCCTACCTCACCCTCGAATAATGCATTTTAATTTAATTCTCTTATTTTACTTATATTAATATTTATTTATTAATTATATTTTTAATTAAATTATTAATCTCCTTATTGCAATTAAAATAATCAAATTAATCAAGTTAATATTTATTTACTGATTAAAATTTTAATTAAATAATTAATTAATTTTTAAAATAATCAATTTTTTAATTAAATTATTAATTTTTATTATAATTTAAAAAATTGCGAGTGGGAGCGGGGAGGGTGCACCCGTTCTCTACTAGACGGGTCTGGGTAGTAAAAACTTCCCCCGGTTGAGTTTGGGGGCAGGAGCGGATGTTTTACATGGAGGCCGGTGCGGATATAGTTAAACCCACCCCCACTCTGTTGCCATCCCTAATTTCCTGTGACTAAGTATCCAACTATCAATGAATATTTGTCGGATCAAAGTTGCATTATTCGAGTGAACCGAATCTTTTGATGAATTGGTCAAAAGAATGACAGAGAACATATTGATAAAATTTGAAAAATATTAGAGTGTGATTCATGAAATAATGGGGGTTGCTATTGTTTTATACCGTAGGTATAAAACTGATTTGCTTTATTATGGAGTCTTTCATGGTAGATAATGTTGATGATCAAGTTAAATCAATTTGACACTTGTATTATAACTTTATGATTATCATTTGAAAATGTCCAATGAATTCATAAGTGAATCTCTTACGTTGGATGCTATGTTGGGAATGATAGGTTGAAGTACTGTGATTTTTATGTCATCTGAGAGAAAGAGAAAAAAAAGATAAAAACCTTGGGTGTGAGATATACACACTATAACTGGTGGCTTTCTAACAAAAGACAATAGTCTAGTCGGTGGAAGAGTGTTGAGAATGATATCATCTCAGAAATCAAGTCATCCCTACAATTTGATATAGATATGTATTAACAAACATCTCAACAATATCACGTGAAAAAACATATCGCAATCTTGGCTACTTGACTTTTGTTATTATTCATGAATCTATGTGGCCACCTTGGGTTTGAGATTTGCAGAGCCATGCATCGAAGTCCACTTACAAGAAGAAACTCCTACATAGAACACAAAATAAACAAATGACAGCATCCATTTACCCATAAGCACCTTCACCCAAGGGTATCTTAGAAGGCAGTAATTTAACAAAGCATTTGTACAGCCAACAAGATAAAGCCATAACTTTTAGTTAAGTAAAAACTCTCCTATTGAGTGAAATATGTAATTCAGTATGTCTTTATAATGAGTATAAAATGTAGACCAATCTTTATCTTAAATTCAAAAAGCTAGCTAGTGTGATGGTAATATTTTAGGCCTTTCTCAATGATTCAGCTTTACATAGAGATGGCACAATTGAATCCTGCTTTCCATAGTAGTGATTAACACGATTACAAAAGGACATACAAACCATAGGAAATAAGGATCAGAACCATGCGTTCATAATAGAGAGCAAACAAAGCAACAAATAAGGCAAAAAGATTTAGATTCAAAACAATCAATAAATTTTCATGTCACAATAATGTTACATCACACGTTCAGGTAAAAGAAAATTTGGGCAATTTGCCCCCTTTCATTTGGAACTTTACTGGAAAACATTGTTTCCAATCATACAGAAGTTCCCCAAAAATGACAACAACAAAAATTACATTAGGATGGGAGAATGATTAAAAAATAAAAACTTATAGACAATACAATAACCTCGGAATTAATCCTTCCTGCACATATGGAGGCTGATTTTACTAGTGACTAACAAACCTATAGTTGACAGTCTGGTAACGTTCATCATGTAAAATGACACCCCTGCTTGGCATGTATGCCTCCAAACCAGTCTGAAAAACTATTGTCTTTTTGTCAATTACGACAAAATATTGACATTTAAAAAGACTGGCAAAACCTGGTGCAAGAATAAAATCCAGCCACAATTTAGTTGATAGGTGGTAATAAAAATAAGAGGTGGAACAAAATTAGATATTAAAGATCAAAATGAAAACTGATATTCAATATCGAGACGCTGACTACTACTTATAATGTAACCCAAAAATGATATTCAATCTCGGGATGCTGACTACTACTTATAACGCGACCGATCTTCCTTTCCTTCCCTCCCCCTCTTTTCACAAAACACAAACACACACGCGCGCGCAAGAAATTCAATAAGCTCTGCAGTAATACATGTTAAAACTAAACAAGTTCTGAAGATCATCAGGTAGCACCTTGTTGTTTCTAATATCATATTAAAGCTTGAGTGTGAAGATTTATTTAAGTAAATGACACATATAGGTTCAGCATTGCATAATTTACCAACCTTAGCGAAAACCTCCTCCTGTCCAGGCAGAACCTGACGTCCCATTATGACTATAAGATTTATTATCAAATCCATCGTCATCTTTGGCATCATCCCAGCCAGCCCAATCATCATTTTTATGGGGAGCTGATTCTCTAGCTGGTTGTACTTCCTTCCTTGTATCTTGGTTGTCCCAATCATCCCAAGAGTTTGAGTCATAAGTATTAGTTTGTCCACCTGATGAAGGTTGTCTTTCTCTGGTAGAAGAATTCCAGCCTTTATTCTCTTGATTGAAATCATGCCTATTATTTTCATTTCGCGGCCAGTTATCAGAATTCTCATTTGGATGTTCTTTGGCGAACTCCTCAACCTTTTGTGAGGCCAATGCCATGACCCCTTTCATTATACCCCATGTCCTTTGTCCAATTTCTGATGTCTTCTGAGTTACAATATGGACAGTTTCATTGACCTTGTGATCATAACCACCGTCCTTCACCTGAAAGGGACAACATAGTTAATCAGGCAAAGAATAACTGCCAATGGGCAACAACGAAATTTCTGGAAGAAGTGTGATAAGCAATCAAATTCCATATGAAAGGAAAAACACCCTAGAATGAGATTTTAAAATATACACAATTCTTTCGCCTATAAAAAATGCCTAAAAGCTCCAAATCTCTCAATCCATTCCTGAACAAGAGTATCAATGAATGACAATGTGGGAAGTGAAAACCCTCAAAAGTATAAGATTTCAGGAGGATATTTGGCAAGATAGAAAGTGTTATTTATCATTTCCAACAATGCACATCTAGTTAGGATTTAGCAAATCTGACACCCCATCACAAACAAGAGCACTCTACATACTCTTTTGTCCAAATTTCCAATCTACCAATCCATAGTTCTTACTAAAAATTTCATCCCCAGTTCACTTCAAGCACGCTTGAATTATAGTTATAATTTATTATTCGAACCAACAGCAACAACAAGCATCAAATATTTTTGCCAAAACTCCACTGTTGACCAAACTAGGCACAAAAAGTAGAGACATAATCTGATTTGACATTAGGCAGGACAGTTTTCGTTTTTCAAATCTAAAACTTGAAGCAAAACTATAAACTTAGTCAAAACTGCAATATACAAATAGTAGTAATTAATTTATAAAAAAAAAAGTTGTTAAAAAATAACAACTGGTGCGATTTTGAGGAAATATGTATTTTAAGGGACAAGTTTTCCTTGTTTTTAAGCCATAGTTAAACAAAACAAAGGATGGGAGGTGACACATGGAAATGGTTTAATTTTCAATATGTGATACTTGATAGAGAGAAAACAGTATAGATGCTTCTCATTTTCAGCATCAATTATTTTATCTGTATCAAAGCAAGTTCAGAATGTTTAGAATCTGAAATGCAGAAACATTATATTTGCAGCTGTAAAAAACAGGCTCAGAGAATTCCTTTGTTGCAGTACAATGGTGACTGTTTAGCTTTGTAATCCAAATAGACTGAGTTTGATTTTCCATTAGAGAATGTTTGGCTTAGTGCCACCCCTTCCCTATTATTTAAAAAGCCGGCTCACCCTTAAAACTTGAAGGGTAACAACAATATTACCATTATATCCGTTACAATTGATTGAGCTTATAATCATTTACAAAGAGTAATTTCAACTTAAACATAAGAACAAATACCAATTTTTTTAATATATAAATGTATTCAATTTTCAGAATCACGCGGCAGGTCCTTCTAAAAGATACTGACATAATTTAATCTTATAAGTTAGAACATGTTAAAAACCATATGTTATCAGACATAAATATAGAACTCAATAGCCAATAAGATTGCCAATCGATAATGAGTTTGATATATGTTTTATGCTCTCTTTAAATATAATCAGTATAACCTTACTCGTTGTAGTTCTCCGTCCTCAAAATGAAGAAAAACTCAAAGGAGGCATAGAAATTACATTACATATAAATAAATTATTCATATAAAAAATATAGAGCAGCCTTTTTCAAAGATATAGAGTATGTTAAACTGCAATAGACCTAAACATTAACATCCAAATGCTGCAGGGGTAAAATATATTCAAAACATGAGTTGCACTCAAATGATTAACGAGTTTGGGTTAAGGACCGATCCCGAGCACCAAGTTTGATCCCTGGCTATACCATTCTTCAGACAGAGTTTACTTCTCTCCCTACCAAACTCCAAACTCCAAACTCCGAATTACCATCCCCAGCACCCTTCCCCAAGATCCGTAGTGTTAAGACCAAAATGTATCAATTCAAAATAGAGAGAAGCTAAACAAAAAACACAAAACATGCAGTAGTTTTCATAGAAAGTAGAATCACAATTCACAAACGATGCAAATTACCTTGGCAGTGATCTCCTTGGTTGCAGATTGAGCAACCATTGATAACTTACCTATTCCCTGAAAACACATAACATAAAAACATGTCTCAACAAACAATAAACCATTTCCCATAAACAAAAGGGAGATTCAGAGTATAACCTCAGAAACAACAGATAAATAATCACTTTGAGGAGACGCCCTCTGAGAAGGATTGGGACTAGATCCAAATCCAACGTACTTCCCACCCTGTGACGGAGGAAGCCCCTCCGGTCTCGCTCCATTTTCCGCCATCTTCCTCGCAAAGTACCCTTCCTTATTAGCAGCAGAAGCCTCCAATTGCGTCCTCGTATAAATATCCTCAGTCGACTTCGACCTCGCCGACGGCGCAATCCCGCCTCCACCAAACCCCATAACATCACCAGTCGACTGATTCCTCCTAAACTCACCACCACCGCGAGATCCATAACTCTCATCATTATCATTACCCCAATTATCATCCCAACCTCCTCCATTAGAGCCAGCCAGAGGCGGCTTCCCTTTTCCAGATCGAGCATTAGCATTCTCCTTAACGACCGGCGGATCCCGCCACGAACGACCTTCAGCAAGAGCCTGAATCCGATCGCGGTAGATCGAAGCAGCATTGGAATTATACTTACTTATAATATCCGTTTCCTTAGGGATTCCGTATTGAGAGAGAAACGAATTGAGATTGCGGTTACCACCGGCCTCCATTTTCTTGATCTGGAGATCAGACCACGAGTCCATGGTAACAGATCGGACGAAGGAGATGTGAACGCCGAGGCCACGGTGTTTACCGGAGCATTCTAGACACATGAAGATGCCGTATGAGACGGAGGCCCATTGGGGATTCTTTTGGGAACAGTCGACGCAGATCTTGTTTGAGGCTTCCGATTGAAGCTCACGGAGCCGGCGCGCCGCCGCCATGATTAGCGTAATTTTCTGGAGTTTTAAATTGAAATAAAGTAATGGGAGGAAAAGAATGAGAAAAGATACGAATGAGATTTTGTGTTTGGGAATGGGAATGGGAAAGGGAAATGGGAAGAAAAGATGTTAGAGAGCTGAATCGCCGACACCGTTAAAATGGAAGGGGGTTATTGCTTGCTGACTTGGAGCGCTCTATGTTGCTAGTTTTTTATTTAATATGTAAAAAACCTAAAAACATTTTTTTTTTGACAAGAATTTTAAGTAGCAATGTAAATTTTGATTGATTCAAATCCTATATTTTAGGTGTTTCAAAAAAAATCCTATATTTTAGGCGTTTCAAAAAAAAAATCCTGTATTTTGGGTAAATTAATTTCATCCTGATCTTCCTAGTGTGGCAGTATATAATGCAATGTTTTATTTTTATTTGGACATAGGTATATTTTATTAATAAAATAAATTAGTTTCTCCAAAATACATTTGTTTGATTTTGATCTTATAAATTACTTAAATTGTGTCATCCAGTAAATTAATCTCTATAATTTTAAATTTGTTATTAAATAATTTTTTATAATCACACTTGCTTATAAATAACCACTAAGAAAAACAAGACAAAGATTTTCTTGCCCCACACTAGAGAACTTCCTTACCTCACAGTATTGGATTTCCTTGCTTTAAACCTTTAAGAAATTTTGGACGTCACATTAGAGTACTCCAATGCCTTAAACCTTCAGTACTTTTCTACTTCACACTAAAGGAATTAGGAATTGAAAAATTACTGAGGTGTTTATTTACAACAACTCACAAAGTGAAAAACTCAATAAAGTTTAGGTGTTTAACTTTCCTAAAAAAATAATGAATAAAATAGCACTTGTATTTAAGTGTTTGTTATTTACTAGAATTGCAATTGTTTGAAAAGCTTATATAATTATTTAGAATTTGTTATGTAGTTCAAAAGTCTTATAAATTAGTATCCTTTAGAATTCAAATTCGATTCCATTATATAGACCATAGATATTTGATTTGATAAAATATTTATCCTGAACAATAATTTTTTCTTTGGAAATAGTGTTGTTGGAATTGTACTATTTGTATAAAATCTATATTTTTTCATTCCTTATGCTAACACAATTGTTATTATGTGACTCTTGAGAGATCATTTTTTTTACAGATCAGAACAAGTTTTTTTTTTGTCAACTATACACATGTGATTAAATCTTCATACTGGAATAGATGGTCACTTGTATTGAGTATAAATGATCTTATATATTTGATTGCGGATGATCATTTTCTCCTTGAGGTATATATGGTTGACTTTGTTGACTTCATCATAAATGACCATTTTAGACTTGAGGTCTAGGTGGTCAAACTCATTGACTTTAACATTAATGGTCATTCAATGGTGGATTGGGGGTTTTGGCCGCCATTTTGGTTCTTGGTGATGAACTTTTTTCTTTTTAGGGTTCTTAAAACTCCTTCCCCCCCCCCCCCCCTCTAATGAACACAAATGATGTTTATATTGTTCTTGATTTGTTATTCTGGGCATGGGTTGCTTACGATTTTTCACGATTTATTTGTTGTGATGGTTTGTTATTGAGATTTTTGAGGTTGATTTGTTGTTGTTTGACCTGTTTTGGAGCGGAAGTTTGTTTTGATCTGGTTTTGATTGTTGCGAGCTTGCGGAAATGTTACGATTTTGGAGAATTTACGGTTTTGATTTTAGTTTTGGAGCAGCAATTTTGGGGAAGTTTGTTATGCGTTTGATTTAATCTCGTTTTGGTTGTTGTGGGCTTCCAGATGTTGTTGTTGGCTAAATTGGATATCCATTTTTCACTTTGGATTTGGATATCCATTCTAATGGATTTGGATATCCATTTTGGTTCTATAGATTTGCTGGATTTCCTTATGTCTTGTTTGGCATTGAACAAGAAAAATCACTTTTTCTAAAAAGCACTTTTTCAAAAAAATCACTTTTTCTCTCTCTCTCTCTCTCTCTTGGAATAATTTGGAACAGATGTCGCCGAGTCATGTCGGGGTCGGAAAGTAAAAGTCGGGGGATGCGGCGACATTTATTTGTTGCCCCTCCCGATGTACCCGATGCTGAAAAATTAACTGAGAGTATCAAAATAACAAACAAACCATTTTTGATAAAATTTTAATTCTAACCAATTGCCGATTATTTTCATGTCGTTTGCTTTGTAGGTTCGAAGAGTCGAAGCGAAGAATTGGATGCGGAGAACTCTTAGGAAAATTAGGAATTTAGATCTTAGGAATTAATTTTGTAATTTTGAATAAATGTAATCGAAAATTGTATAAAGATTGAAAATAAATTCAATAAAGAATGAACTTTTATTTTCCGATTAAATTCCATCCTTATTTTCCTTCGAATACTCGACATTTCCAATTTAAATCCGACAAATTAACCATTATGCACAATACTTGAATATTAGATACGTCCAACACAACTTTCGAGTTCAAAACTAACCCCTGACAATTAACTTATATTCGATAATAAAATCGGTGAAAATTGTCTTTGAACAGATAAACAGAGAATCCATTTTAACGGCAAAAACACATTTTTCTCCGCCTTTAAAACTCAAATTGTATCTCAAACAATCAACTCGACTGATAATCATGATCAAACCAACAGATATTCATTATAAATTCAACGCGAACCGAAATTTCACTGTTCCTTTAGAATCGATTGGTAACTAGTAGAAAGCAGGAAAACGTGTGTCTGTTAGAATAAATTCTTCAAAGCAAATTCTCGCACAGATTTAACCTGGATCCACTTATATTGCAACGCACTCAGATCCATATGGTTTAGGAAGCAAACATCATTTTACAACTTCAACCGACGACTAAATCCCGATTCTCGAATAACAAGTACTGCGTCACGAGGAAACTGACGTCCGTATTGTCGTAAAATTTAGCTCATTCTCAAATAAAATCACATGACTCGGATATTGAAACCTTAATCGTTTGAGGAGTTATTGATGACGACTTTGCTTCATAAATTTCCAGTAGACTGTAAATTAATGACTCTTTTGCCCTTCATGAATTAAAGCGCAAACAATATTATTCTTCTGCAAAACAACCAGACTGAGCAAAACGGTTAACGGTTAGTTAAAATGCAATGCAGAATGTAATGAAATGCGAACTGAACCTGATGATCTAAGGGTAAAATTTGGGGTATGACACATATTCAAGGCAAGGGTATTCAGTTTCACATGATCAACTACTTAGTTTTGGAAGTAAAGCATTGGTGTTTGAGAAACAAGTTATATACACACATTTATTCAAGAAAGACATCCTGCATTACAGACCATTCACGTTACTTTACACCAAAATACAAATCTTGAAATTCGAGGCAAGTTATACATTTTGATCTACAGTTAACTCTGGTCAATTGATGACTTTTTGGTCAAACAGTTGACTGATCTAATTCAAAATCCTATCTTATCTCCATTTGCTTCATGTTGTCCAAGATTCCTCATGGTCCATATGATGCATTGTCAATCAATTCCATGCCATGTATCATTCCTGCTATCACACCAAACATACACCATAGTCAGTGTACAAGCATCATACACTGCATTTCATCAAAAGTCAAGACAATGGTGATTCAATGCATTCACATAACTATACTGGGCATAATCAAATAAGTCATGGTTATCCAATGCATACATACTCATACATGATTAAACCATTAGTTTCCATTCCAAACAACGAGTAGTTATAACCAAGATCCTAATTAACAACATTGCTAACTTGTCCTTACACAGTGCCCACATTTCAGATACAAACCCTAACCAAACCTTGATTATAGCTAACACTAACAACACAACAACAATTGGCAAGGAGTCTAAACATTTACAACAACAACATAGTGTTCCTAACATGTTAACATAACCCACATTAACCTAAGTGTTCTAACATCCCTTCTTCCTGATATTGATTCATTACACAACTAAACCTAGTTTTTTTTTCTCATTTTAGGATCATAATAGTTATCTTCCATAAATCATTCAACATAGCTATCAAGGCACACATTAATTGTTTTTTAAACTCAATCCAATGGAGCAGGCTGTTACTCACTAACTATCTTGCTAACCTAATACTCACGAATTGCTATGACATAACATCAATTCAACAGCCCCTGCAATTTAGAGACAAGATAGCATGAGATAATTAATTTTCAACTTCTAGCATAAGTTTTGGAGTAAGGTATAATACTAATTCATTAACAACAACATCACAATTTAACCCAACGCAGTGCACATATTATTCACATTTTCAATCTCAAGCATGGTAAAGTCCAAACCCAAGCATAGCATAACAAAGTAATTCACGATTAACTCAGTTGGTTATTCAATCTGAGTCAATAATTCAAACACAGTTTCACAGGTCATTGATTAACTAACTGACATGATTTCATTTAACAGTTTTAACCAAATTCAAAAACTAACAACTAATTACTCCATTCCTAACATAGTTCTAAATTAACACTCTAACTTCAATCATACCAAACTACTTGAACTAACTAACCCTAACATAACCTACTCTCCACATAACTAATTTTCTAAAACTCTTCTCTAACTGCTTCATCCATTTTAACTAACTACTTTGTGATGCAACTAATTGATTCACAACTAACAGCTATGTGAACAAAGTGCTAACATGATTTTATTGAACTAGATCCAGCACGGATCCAGGTTGGTTGGAATGGGGTCAAGTGACCCCACTTGATTTTTTTTTAAGACCAATAATAATTAATTTTGGAATATTGACCCCACATTAAATACATCATTGTCCCCATACCACTCATTTGATTTGAATTCTAGAAAACACAAATCTGACTATTAATTTTATTTTATTACTTTTTAAAAAAAGAAAATGGAAATTAAAAAGACACAAGTAAATTGGATTTGTATAGGTTCTTCTAATTATAAATCAATTTACATACATACTCTATTTTTTTCCTTCTTTCTTCTACACACTTT